ATGGAGTTTGAGCTTTGGTACAGCTTGCCTGAAGTCCAAGGATGCTTCTCCAACACCTGGCTTGCTTTAAATCACTATGAATCGTGCTATGGAAGTTTACCTGCAAAACTGAAAAAATGAAAATGGCAACAGGGGTTAGGGATGTTACAGTTTGTATTTAGGGCTTGGGATAGTTCCAGTGGATGGTAGGGAATGTGTTTGAACAAGCTTTGGCCAAAACGCACGAGCAAACTGAGTTGTGCAACTCAATCTGCAGGGATGCCCTGTTTCTTGCAGAAAAATGGTGTTTTGGTGAATGAGGGGGTATTGAGGATGAAGGAATCGTGTTTTAGGTCAGCTTGGGTGTATGAAAGATGTTCACAAGGTTTTTGTTTGACTGTGTTGACAGGAAGTGAGAGTTGGATAGTTTTTGCAAGCTTTCTTCCCATGTAAGCAAGGAAATGTCAACTTGTGATATAGGCCTGTCCAATGTCCTCAAGCATGCTGCACACTTTGCTCTTGATCAGTGGGATTTGTCTACCCAACTTTGCCTCAAAGATTTGGCTTGTACTTCAAAGATTCAGATTTTGACATAAAGCATTACTTTTCAAAAATGGCAAAGTTGCTTTTTCTAATTATGGATTAGTTCTTTGTGTAATGACTAAATGCATAAAACAATGCTTGAACACAAAGGTTGTGCATTTAATTATGGAGTGCAAACTTGGTTTATAGGCCTGCAAGCAAGTACCAAGCATGCTGATTTCAAAATGGAACTTGTATGAACATGCCTTTGGCCATGAATAAAAGTGAATTTTGCCCAACTTTGCAAATTCGATTCTCCCTAACCACAAGGGTGTTTGAGAAGTTCTTGGACAATTTGGAAAGCTTGGAATGTGTATTACAATCCATATTTGTAATGCAAATTGAAAATCTAAGTGGAAGCATGTGAAAAATGGCCAAGAAGTTGGAAAAAATCCTGCCTAGAATAGGTCAAAATTTTTCTAAGTTAAAAATGTTTTGCACCCTTGTTCCAAAAATCATAACTTGAGCTACAAGATTCTTTTGAGGAAACTTTGTGAATAAAAATTGTAGATTTTGCAATATACTACAACTTTCATGTTTTGAGTTTTGTTTGAATCCATTTGTATCTTGGTGAAAAAATGGGACAAAGTTAGGAAAAAATAAGGAAGTTTCATAACTTAGAAAAATTCTAAGTTATGAAATTTTCTCATTTTAAACCCTAATTTGCAAATTTGGGTTTCTTGATGAACAAGTTTCATAATTTGACATGTCTTGATGAAAAATGAATCTTGGCACTTGATTTTGACCAAAAAGTCAAAGTTTGACTTTTCAGTATACAGTCAAATTTTGATCAGTTGACTGAAAAATTCATTTGTCAATCTTATGCATTTGAGATCTTTTGAACTTGTTGAATGGTTCAAGACAATGACATTGAGTCCTTGAGTCCATATGTGAGCTTGGTTTGCCATTGGTTAGGTCAAACAGTCAAAAATTGCCTTTGTGCAATCAAAACCCTAAAAATGACCATTTTTCCCTTTTGGTGATCTGATCAAATTTCTTGTGGAATTGTGATCCAAACTTGACCAAATGTTTCATATGAATTGATGATGTTGATGTGGGTCAAAAATCATGAGGTTTGACTGTCAATTGGCCACAGTTGACTTTTTCCCCAATACAGTTGATTTCTAGGTCAACTATCCAATTGACTGGGCAAAGATTGGAATCAAGGCTTGAAACTTGGTATGGATAAACTTGAGAGTCTAACATGAAGCATGAAAGTAACTTTGGGAATTTTAGGTCAAAACATCTTTGTGCAAACTCAAACCCTAATTTGGGTCAACAATGCAAGGAGGGGTCTTGAGCAGAGCAAACTCTAACTTGATCTTGAGCTCCCAGTGTCTTGTGATGAGAAAATGTTGATGAAATGAGAGGGTAAATTTTGGGGTACAACACCAAGCACGTTGGAAGCTCCACTAAAAACCATAGTCCATTGGGATCCTGATTCAGGTCCTTCATACGGTCCAGGTTCTTCGTAATCAGTAACTAGCATAATATTCTCATCTAGGAACTCAAAATTCATAGAATGATAGTCATCTACAGCTTGATGATCCAAATGATCTTCCAGCACACTTCCTTTGATTATCTTCTAAGTAGTATACTGAATGTCATATTCTGTCAAGACCATTTGCCATCTTGCTATTCTTCCAGAGAGAGCAGGTTTCTCGAATATGTATTTTATTGGATCCATCTTAGAGATTAATAAAGTAGTATGAGTCAACATATAATATCTTAGTCGGCGAGAAGCCCATGCCAAAGTGCAGCAAGTTTTCTCGAGTAGTGAGTATCTCATTTCACAGTCGATAAATTTTTTGCTAAGATAGTATATTACGTGCTCTTTTCTACCAGACTCGCCAGGTTTCCTCAATACACACCCCATTGAGTTCTCTAACACCGTTAAGTACATGATAAGGGGTCTTCCTTCAATTGGTGGCATCAGAATTGGAGGTTCTTGTAGGTGCTCCTTGGTTTTGTCAAACTCTATCTGAAATTCGTCATTCAACTTTACTACTTGATCGTTCTTCAGTAACTTGAAGATTGGCTCACAAGTGGCGGTCAAATGGGAAACAAATCTGGAAATATAATTCAAACGTCCCAAGAAACCTCTGACTCCCTTCTCAGTACGGGGAGTTGGCATTTCTTAAATGTCTTTAACCTTGGCAGGATCAACTTCAATACCTTTACCACTAACGACGAAACCTAGGAGTTTACTGGATCTTACCCCAAAGGTGCACTTGTTTGGATTCAACCTTAACTTGTAATTTTTCAACTTCTCGAACAGCTTGTGCAGGTAGTCGAGATGTTATTCTTCTATCTGAGACCTGGCTATCATGTCATCAACATAAACCTCTATCTCTTAATGGATCATGTCATGGAACAAAGCTACCATAGCACGCTAATATGTTGCACCGGCGTTCTTCAAACCAAAAGGCATAACTTTGTAAAAAAAAAGTGCCCAACTGTGTGACAAAGGTAGTCTTCTCCATGTCTCCAGGTGCCATCTTGATTTTATTATTACCAGAGAAACCATCCATGAAAAAGAATACTTTATGATGAGCGGTGTTGTCAACCAGAACATCAATATGTGAAAGCGAAAAGTCATCTTTGGGACTTTCCCTATTCAGATCCTTGTAGTCTATAAACATATGCACCTTGTCATCCTTCTTAGGTACTAGCACCACATTTTCAACCCACTAAGGATGGGACGTAACAACTAAGAAATCTGTATTGAACTACTTCATAACCTCAGCTTTAATCTTTTCAGAAATCTTGGGATGCATACGATGAATCTTCTATTTTACAGGAGGACAACCTTCCTTCATCGGTAGACGGTGAACCACAATGTCAATATCAATCCATGGCATGTCTTTGTATGACCAAGCAAAGATCTCAACATAGTCATGCAACATATGGATTAATCTCTTTTTGACACTGCCTTCTAGGTTGACACCTATCTTGACTTCTTTCTTTTCCTCTTTAGTACCCAAGTTCACAACCTCGACTGGCTCTTCATACAATTGTATGGCTCTTTCTTCCTGCATTAACAGCCTAGCAAGCTTTCCAGGTACTTCACAATCTTCCTCACCTTCGTCTTCGGCTTGGTAGATCGGATTTTCGAAGTCATAATTGGCAATAGAAAAATTGTTATCAATGAGATCCAGGGTGGATATGGATTTGCAGTTTGTTGTATGGGTGTGTGTAAGAACACATAGTTATTTTGAAAGTAATAAAGTAAAAGAAAGGAAAATAGCACAAAATTTGAATGCAAACGTCCAATGATTTATTAAATGAAAATATGCGGATGGAAAATGACAACCCTAACAAACAGACCGTTGTACCCCGGATAGGGCACAAGGTTTAAAGTTATTGTTTAAATTACATAACCAAAAGTTGAAAGCAAGAAAACAAGAAATAGAATTTACTCATGACTAAAGGAAATTGGTATAAAGTCTTCAACCTTCCAATTGTTGAGCCCATTGCCAGTAGTAGGGAAAATCCAATTTCCTATGTCAGTGTCATACCCCAAATTTGCCCTACCCTAATTTTATATCTAAGTTTTCTTTAAATAAATCATATTATTTAGTTTTCACTTTTATAGGGGTATTTAAAACTAGAGCGGAGTGTAACAGTCCAAAATGGACCATCAATATCTGATGGCCCATTAAACTCTAATAAAAGTCCATTCCAAATTGAGGGAGGTGTATTTATTTCAAAGGGGGCATGAACAAAACACTAAAACCCATTCTCAGTTTTTGGTTTTATCTTGAAGAGAATTTTGCTTAATTATTTTCATTGTGACTAAATGATTGTTTTTATTTTTTTTAATTGATTTCTTTTTCATTTTTATTTAAAAGAAGGCGGGCTATAAAAAAAATCCTTTTAGATAGGCCCATTTGGATTTTCTGGTTGGTTGTTTGTTTCAATTGATCAACAGCAATAGTCCAATTTCCGTTTCTGAGAAAATGGTTTTTGATTATTGAGTTTAATTGTTAAGGTGTTTATTCTATTTTTCGAACTGGCAAGCCCAAAACGGCATAGCCCATTTCGTTTTTTTTATTTGTTAAAATAATATATATTTTTGTTATAACGTGATCATCATTATTATCATATTTTATTATGATTTTTTATTATAATGACTACTATTATTAACTTTACTAAATTTAACTATAATTAAAACATATTATTTAAAAAAAACTTGATTAAAACTTGGTTTACTGATCGAGAATTATTAACATACAAAACAAAAGATTTTGCTTAGCCCAAATTTTACAATGCAAAGGGTGTTGTCAATAAAAAGAAAACAAAACTCAAAAAATACTCTCATCCAATCTCTCTCCTTCACAAAATCTGCTCATCTTTCACTCTCCAGCTCGCCTTTCACCGCCATCATCGCCTACATCCATCATCTCCGTCTCCCTCCGCTAACCCATGTCTACCGTCTATTAGCCTTCGTCCCAGTCGTCCGCCCTACCCCAACAACGCGACCTCCAAACTCCCTTCAACACTACACCACTGCATTGGTCCAATCTAGATCTCCGCAACTCTCGGAACATCATCCGCCACACTAACGCATCTCCATCATTCTCCAGCGAGCACTCAAAATCGTTGTTAGCAACAACACCGATAACCCACGCATCCAAGACCCCTATGTTCTGCTCTTGCAACAATACCATTATTGGCCGATACAAACCCTTACCGCGCCCGTACGCCATCGACTCGTCTGTTCTAGCTGCAATCCAGATTGAGTGGGTAAGTTTTTTTTTTTTTTTTTTTGTAATTGTAAAGTGAAGAATAGAGAAAAAAACCCGGAAGAAGAAATGGGTTTGAGAAGAGAATAATAGGTACTAAGTCTACAAGCTGTACATACATATGTCATTTTAATTTTGTTTTTTTTAATGGTATGCCATATGTCGTTGCACCTCTGACTGAGGGGATTATTGTTATAATTGAAAAGAAGAAAAAAAATCACAAGAAAATGCACTGGAGATGCACCGCGCCGTCCCTAAGAATTCCTTTTTTATGTTATAGTTTTTTATAGGTTAGTGTAATTGGTTTTTTTTTTGTTTGGACTCTCCTCTTAGTTTGTTTATATATATATATATATATATATATATATATATATATATATATATATATATATATATATATATATATATTCTCAATCCATGTGCACACCCTTAGCCCATTCATTTAATTTAATCATTTAGTTCTTATTTAACTATTTGTTTTAAATAAAACCTTTAAGTTAATATGGTTTATTTTATCATGTTAATTTAGATTCTCTAGTCTAATTTTATCATTAATATCAGAAACAAATTCTCGTATAAAAAAATCAAACTTTTAATCGAAATTAATTCAAACAATTTATAATTAATAGGATGTACATCTTCGAATAATTAAATCGGTCGATACATCGTCTATCAGTTTATTATCAAAAAATTTAAACCCGCGCAATTCATCAAATAAATCCATCTGCAAATGACATGTGGCCAACATCTGGCCACGTGATGAGGAGGCTACATCAGACTCTCTCGCTCTACGTCTTGAAAATACTCAAGCAAACATCAAATTATTTTTTCATAATAAATCAATTCAACATTAATCTTCGAAAAAGGAATACGAACATATTTGAATTAACTTTTTACTTGGTCTAACAAACTCCACTATTCACACTCTTAGGCTATATATACGGGAAATTCGAATATATTTCGCAATCCATAAAAAATACAAACAAACTGCGAACTACGAAATAGGACTTTGATTTCTCTTAAGAGGATACATAGGCATACGATTAAAATCGTGGCGAGTCCCGCTAAATAAAATTCAAACCCTTTTTCCCAATAATAATTAAAAACCCTATTTTCTAAGATCACGCTTCTAAACCTAGTATCCTTGTGAACAAGGTAGATAAGGGGTTCCTAACACCTTCCCCTCGTCTAGAACCGAGTCCAAATCTAGAATCTATGACTTTTAGGGTTACTCATTTATACTCCCTTCCTTTAAGATAAAAATTAAGGGTGGTGACTCTGAATTTAAAACCAGTTGCAACAGCTGGCGACTCTGCTGGCGACTCAACCCTAGGTTTAGAAGCTTTCCTTTAGGTTTTAGGTTTTTGCTTATATTTTTGGGTTTTCTTTATTTTTGCTTTATTTATATATTTCTTGCTTATTTCTTATTATTATTCATTATATTTATTTATCTATGGTGGGATTTAATTTTAGCAAAAAAATATTTTCAAAAACCCTTAGAAAGAAGGTTCATCTATTAGCCAAGGAGTTACATCAACCCTATGAGTTTATGTGACGACTTCGCCTAGAGTCGGTGGAGTTCTACAAAAGGAATACCTCTCGAGAGACCTCCTCTTGGGAAGTAGGACTTTGGAATGATACTTATGACTTTTTGTACGACCTTTAAACCAAAAACTCGTGATGAGACCTTTCATGACCTAGAGACGAAAGTTTCGGTCTGTAAAGAGACTTCACTTAAGGGAGGCCCTTATACCTTTCCCTCTAGCATTATTCATGACACCCTTAAAGAAAACACCTTATGGGGAGGGTAGAATATTCGTATGCCAATACTAAGAACCTACCTTCTAAGGATACCTTTCACAAATCTCACTATAATCTGCGAACCTGCAAGGGTTATCCCTTCATCCACTACTATCCTTAGCCCGTAGGGCTTCCGTCTATATCTCATCCATATCCTGTAGCGACTCCTTATTGTCCATAATCCGCAAGGCATTCCTACATGTCTCAATCCCTAAGACAGTGTAGTAAATCATCAAATATATGTCTATTATCATCTTCGTCCATAAGGAGTCCCTGCCTGTCTCAATTTCTGAGTCAGAGTAGGATACCATCTTTAAACTTGTATAGGGTACCCCTGCGTCTACCACCATACTATGTCTACGTTGTATTGCATACCCATGAGTTATTTATACTTTTTCATACCCAAGTTTTTTCATACATTTTCATTCTTCATCCATCTACATAAAACTCATATCTCTCCCTCTCACAGAAAACTTCCAACCGTAGTTCAACAAGGTGATTCCCAAATACTCAAAACGAACTCTAGATAACTCACAAAGCAAGTGTAAAGTTAGATACAACAATGGAAGAAGGTCAACAAGACACAACTGAAGACATCATTATACCTCAAGAAAGAACTCAGGCTCGACCTCATCCTATACAAGCTTCAATGGAGAACCTTATTGAAGGGGTAAGAAAATACTTAGAAGGGGGGGTTGAATAAGTGACTCTTTTCCTTTTTCAAAGTTCAAACAATAATGGAAGAACACAGTTATTTTTATCCTGGTTCGTTTGAACTCAAACTACTCCAGTCCACCCGCCAAGGTGATTTAGCATTTCTCAACAAGAACTTAATCCATTATAATCAACTGATTACAATCACACAACAACTATTGTGACTAACAATGCACAGGTAAACTTACAAGTGACTAACACCACTAAGACTTAAATCTAGTCCTAGTCTGCTTGAGAAATCTGACCAAACTTGGTCTCTCAAGGAACAAATACAGGAGTTTAATCTTTACAGATAATGAAATAGAGTTTGCTTCTAATCAAGCTATATCACAACTGTGATTTTTCACTTAGAATATAATGCACAAATTGTATGAACAATGAGTTTGTGAGCTTTTGGATCTTTCACGTAGTTTCTTGCTTCTCTTGAAAATTTGATTGGTTTTCTTTTTTCACTAAAAGTTATTGTAGGCTTGCAATAAATGTCCTTCTGTTTATAGTAGGAACAATAAGACCGTTGCTGCCTTCAGAAAAGATGGAGAGCATTAAATGCTTTGTGTGTGTCCTTGCAATATTCCATTTTCCAAGAAACTAGTTGTAGGCACTTGAGTGCTTTCAGCCGTCTTTGAATTAATGAGCAAACGTCAGAATGTAAGAACGTGTTTTTCTTTGCTTTGACAAGACAAGTTGATCTTAAACGTTACTTCAGAGTTTTCTCCAATGTCTTTAAGTCAGAACATGCGTCACTCATCTTCTAGGTAGTGCGTTGCTTGCTAAGAACTTTGAACAGCACTTGCTTTCAAGTTATCTTTTGAATAAGGAGCCTGCTAGAAGTTAGAAGATATATTTAACAAATAAATTGTCTTACCAGAGTCAGCAGATGCATTTGAATAAAAGGTTCTTTTATCAAAGAACTTCTTCATAATCTTTGCTTAGTACTTTAGAATGTTTTATGTCAGAACATTAACTAAGACATTCAAAACACATTCATCAGAGCATAAATTATCTTAAATATAATTTATTTATCATCAAAACTCTTGAGATAGGTCAGAACTAATCTTGTTCTTTCAATCTCCCCCTTTTTGATGATGACAAAAAATTATTTTAGATAAAGAAAAGAAACAGATTAAGAGATAAGAATCTCCCCCTGAAATGAATATTTCTATGCATAAGATATCCTGAGATTATTTAGTCAGAGTAATACACATCCTTCTTGAATTTCTTCAGAACTTCTTCAAGAAGAAAAATCTTAGCTGGAATATTCTTTCAGAGTTAAAGTGATACCTGCAAAAAAAATTCTTTTGCACTGAAGGAATTCTTGCAAATTTGTTAGAATGTCTAAGACTTAGTCCCATAACTGTTAAACAGTGATTAGTTCAAGAATGCACATTTTCTCCCCCTTTTTGGCATAATCAAAAAGTGTAATAAATGAGAAATTTTGAAAGATTTCATAAAAAAGTTTTAAAAAAAAGATATCCAGAAGTATAAACAAAATATCCAAATAAGAGACAAAAAGAAACTAGGATTTCTTAGTGACAAGAGCCATAAGAAGATTCTTGATCTCAGAGGCAGATTCGTCTTGTTTCTCCATCCAGTTCTTGATCTCTAGATTTGTTTGACCTTGCTTATCCGTGAGTTTATTCAAGACTTCATTCTCCTTCTTTAGCTCTTTCAGAGTGTCCATAATGAGTGAGGTAGGAGCAGAAGATGATGAAGCTTCAGTAGAAACAGACTCATAAGCAGCAACCATTGAGTCAGACTTCATAAAGGTGGAAAGCAGAGTGCCCAGATCCATTGCAAGAGTTGGCACAGGTTCAGGTCCAGCCTTAATAGAAGGTTGATTCAATAGAACAATAGCCAGAGGATTTGAATCTTCATAGGATTCTTCATATTCATCTTCTGATATGTCCATCTTATCAACTGGTGTATCAGCAATCATTAGCGAAGACTTCTTATTCCAAGTGTCAGCAGCTTCTGTCTTGAAAGCATGCAGAAGTTTGGAAAAGTTGTCCAGCACCTGAAAATGGCGCAAGTCCTGTAACTTCCGTAATTCAGCAACCAAAGTTCTTCTGAAGGTTTCCCATAGAAGATTTGTTGTTGTTGTGTTCACGCTTCTGGAGTAACATTCTTTCAGCGGTTGTAACCATGCTTGAACATTTGTTATAAAATTCTGAAACAAAGTATTTACATCTGGATGAACAGGTTTAGGGACAGTCGTTCTGTAATTTTTGTTTTTCAAGAATTGTAGAGATTGAAAGTCCACTACAGTTCTTAAAAAACTATTGGGTTCAGGATTATTGGTAGGTTCAGGTTCAGGTTGGTTAACACAAATAGGAGGTTTTGATATTTCATGAGGTACAGATGGTTCAACAGTTTCAGTTTGTTCAAAAGGTTGTTGTTCTGGAATTTGAGGAGTTGAGAGTGGTGTTGTATGTTGTGGTGAAGTGGGTGGA